TTACAGTCATACAGTCATAAATGGGAGGGGATGGGTGATAGGAACGATGAGAAGATTAATAGTAATAGTAATGCAGTCTTTGTAAATAGTTGGACAATGTTGAGGGAATGATTTGTTTAGCAGAGTGATGGCATTCAGGAAAAAAAATGTCCTTGTGTTTAATTGTTCTGGTGTGCAGTGCTCCATAGCAGGGGTCTCCAACATTTTGGACCTCAGGGACCACCAAACTCATAATTTTAGATCCCAGGGACCACTAACTGGTTCTGTGGGCATAGCCTAATTTGTCGGTGTGGCTTGATGGTCATGTGACTGGCTGGGCATGGCTTGTATGTAGATATTATAAATATTTATATAAATATTGATTTTTTTTAAATTAAAAAAGAGCAACTTTTACCCAAAATCAGGCAAAGCAGGCAGGCAGATTGAGTTGCTCACAGAATCACAGATTCATTCAGAGAACTATCTATCTGCCATCAGCTAGCTCAGTCTGTCACATAAAATTTGCTGGCAAGCAAACTCACAAAATTAACTCACAACACACCATGCATGTAAATATTGAATTTTTTATTTTAAAAAAGCAACTTTTATCCAAAATCAGGCAAAGCAGGCAGATTGAGTTGCTCACAGAACCATTGAGTGATCTATCTATCTGCCATCAGCTAGTTGAGTCTCTCAAATTTGCTTGCAGTGAGTCTGCACTGAATTTGCTTGCAAGTAAACCTTTAGTCCTAAGGGAGGTTTGGTGTGCTTAGCTAGAAAGCAAGAAATCCAACCATTTCCTGCTTCCTAGCTAATCTAAATCTCCTGCTACAGCAGAACAGATGATGGTCGGAAAAAGGAAAAATAGCAACTTAGCAGGCAAGTTTACCAGGTAAGGTGTGAGTCGGTGGGGGGGGGGGTTCCCAGGGGCCATGTGGGCTGAGCAGCCTTGTGTTTCTGCACAGCCTGGATTAATTGCTTTGGGGAGAGTGCTCTGGGGGTGAGATTTCTCTGCGGCCCACCAAAATTTTCTCATGGCCCACCAGTGGACTGCGGCCCACTGCTTGCTGACCGCTGCTCCATAGCATAATTTTGAGGGTATGAGTTGAAACAGTTTATATCCAGGATGTGAGGGGTCTGTAAATATTTTTACAGCCCTCTTTTTGACTTGTGCAGTACACAGGTCCTTGATTGAAGGCAGGTTGGTAGTAATCATTTTTTCTGCAGTCCTAATTACTCTCTGAAGTCTGTGTCTGTCTTGTTGGGTTGCAGAACCAAGCCAGACAGTTATAGAGGTGCAGATTATAGACTCAATAATTCTTCTGTAGAACTGTATCAGCAGCTCCTTGGGCAGTTTGAGCTTTCTGAGTTGGCGCAGAAAGAACATTCTTTGTTGTGTTTTTTTGATGATGTTTTTGATGTTAGGTGTCCATTTTAGGTCTTGTGATATGGTAGAACCTAGAAATTTGAAGGTCTCTACTGTTGTTACTGTGTTGTCTAGTATTGTAAGAGGTGGTAGTATGGGAGCTATCACAATCACTACAATTTTTGGCCACAGCAATGTGGTTATAAACTAATGGATTCTGGGTAGCATAAAACAACCATATAAACAATTTTAAAAGCATTCAAGAGTACAAAAATGTAATATTATAAAAGATGTGAAAGAAAATCAGATTATAAACAGAGAGATCTAATCAAATGAAGTACTTCAAGGATTAAAATAGCACCCTGAATTGGAGCCAGAATAACCTCAGCTCTCTCTGAAGTCACCTAGAAGAGTTGGTCTCCTGAGTCCTACCTCCCTGTAGTAGATAGTGACACCCGAGAAGTCTATGGTAATCAGTGTAGGATTTCTCTCAACTCTAGATCACTTGCCATTTTTCAAACAGGAAAACCAGATCAGGTGTGAGCCATTGTCCCATGTCAGGCTCTGGATAAACTGAGACAGGCCCTGAACTCCTAAACTGTCATTGTAGCCATCAACTCCTGAACGGTCTCTGACTTTAACATCAGAGAAAGCAGACTGGAGTCTCCCAGAACCATATGTCTGGAAACTCTACCACAGGCCCAGCCGCAGACTCCAGCAGCTCAGGCAGGGAAGTTGTTACACAGCAGGGAAGCTGGTATAGCAGCAAAAATTCCAACTGCTCCTTAGAGCTGAACAGGGTCTCACATCTGGCAACCTGTGAAGCAGTGTCCCTCAAAGCTTTAAGAAACTTCAGTTTGACAGTCGCCAAATGTTCACCCCTACCCTGGACTCTTGTCTGATGCCATGCCTGAAACCAATTTAATTTAAAACCATTTTACAGTAGAATAACCACTTAAGATGAAATGTACCCAAGGGACTCAATTGATTGGAGGTGGAGATTGGAGAACCACATATTGGATAACTGTGCAAAAAAATAAAAATAACCACTACAGTGCTTTTGAAGTTCCATAACCTTTTAAATATATAACAAAATGCAATCTAATCAATCAAAGTGGGAACTAAATGGAATTTAGAACAGGGTTTTAGCTTTTAGGGCTTTCAGAAGGGGCCTGGAAGCCACTGCTGCTTTTCTGAAACAGCTATTTCCTCTCAAACTAGCACCTGGATTTTGACCCAATTAATATTTCCAGAGGCATTCAAAGAAAACATCACAAAATATGGGCAGATGTAGCCTAGTTCAATTATAAACTGAGATTGGTGTTCTTACAGCCACATTTGATCTATCCTAAAATAGATGCAGTTTCTGAAAAGGTTGCCCCCTAAGCATTCTGGGCTCAAGAGAAATCCAGGTGCCCTTTTCTGGTATAAGCCAGATATTTTAAAAAGGGAGATTTCACTCCATACCATATCATTTGAATTCCAGTTCTTTTCTTGAGCAAGAATATTTAGAATAAACTTGAACAAGTACATGCCTGAAAAAAAAATAGTGATCCATTCAAAAGCATTAAGATACATTTGAACATACATAATTTGCGTTCTAAGGCACTGAAATACAAATTTCTCTCATTTATGTTTGCCATTAAAGCAAGCATATCACATTATTATGGCACAACACTGCCCCCTTGTGGGAAAGAACTGAGTTATTAGGCCTTCCTAAATCTTCCTAAAATGCTACTTTGGCTGAAAAAGAATTAGCTAATGATAAAATTATATTTATTTATGATCAGCTTTCAATTCATTTAGCAATATATTAAACAAATATCTTCTGAGCATTTCTAAAAGTGTTAGTTTTAACCCAACTTTTTGATTATTCTTTATTGGAGGGTTTACTGAGGTCATCTGTTTTTTATCACTTTTTAAACACATTCTTCATTGTTACGCCTTATCAACAATCCTGCCAACACAAATGTACCCATTACAAGACTATCTTGGAAATGAATAACTGCATTTATAAAAGCTAATCAGTTCACCAATCCGAAACTTTGCAGAATCTGATTAAGTCGGAATAGAAACAAATAGTAATTGAAACCAAACATTCTGACTTAAGAGATTTTTTAAAATAGAGAGTGTCAACTTCTCATTCCAACATTAAGAGACCCTTTAAAATATCTGAAATGGTAATATAGAATTACAATTACATTTTAGTAACAGATTTCTATAACCAGACAAAATACATATTCTAAATAGAACCTCTTTTATGGTCTCGCGATTGATTGCACATCTTTGCAGCATGTACACATCAAAATGTCATATGATTATTGGAGAATTTAGCTGTGCTCCCAATATCAGGCAATTTTCTTCTGGCACCTCCTCAAAGCTTGTGTCATAGCTGTAGACATTTAGATAGATCTACCTGTGATGACCCAGAATGTCCCACAAATGTAACAAAAACCAAAATGTAAATAAATGTTCTTTAATGCCTTCAACTTGGCTTCACTGTTCAATTGTTCACAGCTGGAGATTAAACTCTTTCCAAATTAACATTCCAAACAAAAGAAATACAGTCCAAACTCCAAGAGCAGATAACGAAGCAATAAAAAACCAAAAACAAACTGTTCCACGACAGATTAATTAATTACAAACTTCAAGAAGATAACCGGGTATAGTCCGTTGGAAGAACACCAACCAAGATAAACCTCATCCAGGAATAAAACACTCTTTTTTTCCAGCGTTTGCATGCAGGTCCAAACTCTTATGTAGTTCTCACACGTGCATCCCATGAAGAGGATCAAGGCCCTCTCCGTCAGAGAAGACCATGTCTTTCCCTTATCCTCTCCTCCCTGAGTGCTCTAGGATGGATAGGGGATGGGCCTGGGTCCTCCTCTGCCTGCTCAGCTGGCTCTGCCCTTCCCCAGGCTCCTCCACAACCTCTGGAGCCACCCTTCCACTCCCTGTTGGCTGTTCCTCCTCTCCCTCAGAGTCAGTCTGCACCAGGGGCATGACACTACCATAGACGTATGTTCCAGAATTGTGAACCCTAATTGTTGCAAACATCATATGTGTCACAATACTGATTGGCAATGCTAGAAGTTTCAGGCTCATACATCAAGATAGCATGAAGACAAATACTATCTGGGGCTTTATAAACAATCATGAAAGATCAAGCACCCAATATCAGAATAACAAAACTCATCTGAGCTAGTGTGCCTAGAGACATCATTGAGATTAATTCCTTAAACATTCAAGGAAAACTTAATTCCTTAAACTTCCAAGGAGAAGTTGTTTATTGCTGGTATGGTAGGCATTGTTAATTTTCATAGGCAGTTGTAATTCTCATTGACTAGTTCAGATAATAAAAGAGCTAGTTCTATGGACGGACTGAACTGTTAACTGTTCCTTAAATATGCACATTGAATTCTCTCTCTTTCACTGTAGGTACAATATGGGATATAATATACTTGTGTATCCACTGAGATACAATATGCTTATTGAGCAGAGGAAACATAAACACAAAACAGATTCAAAGAAGTGGTTTCTGATCTTCTTTACAGTAGTTATAAGTACAATTATAAATTTATTTCATATACCATTGACCCTCTTCTTTCCATAACTTATCCCATCTAATCATAAAAAGTTTCCAATCCGTAATAAATATAACTATCTTTTCTTTGATCAAAGACATTAATTTAGCAATCTCAGCCATATCTTTACCAAATATTTCTCCATTGTAGCTAATGCAGATTCTTTTTTATCTTTATACATTCAATTATTTCCCTACAGTCAAAAGTGATTTGAGGACACCAATTGTTCTAAAATCTGATATGATCAATACATGTGACTTGTACTTTCTATAGCATAGGCCCATGATGGTGAACCTATGGCACGTGTCAGAGGTGGCACGTAGAGCCATCTTTCTGGGCACATGAGCCATCGCCTCAGATCAGCTCTGCCGCACATGCTCACCTCCTGCCGCCAACTGGTCTTTGGAACTCTGCCGTGCATGCACCGGGGTGGGGCAGCTGTGGGAGTCGTGTGCACCTGTGCAGGGATTGCATGTGTTGCATTTCAGGGATGCACACACATGCACATGCTTTGGGCACTTGATGCCAAAAAGGTTAGCCATCACTGGCATAGGCAGTAGAGGGAGATTGGGCAAAGAGTGACTGTATATATAGATATATTTTCCTTATTCTTTCAATACATAGCAGTGGTATGCTAACAGCCATTTAGTTCTTATTTTGAATGCACCTGTTAGCAGTTTACAATCAGAAAGCAGTTGATTTTTCAAATAAGTATTTTCAATACTTTCACTTGAAAACAGGAGAATCTTTATAATTTACTGTTTTCTCCCCTAGAGGTAATATTCATAGAGGTAATAAGCAACCTGAAGTATAAAAAACTCAATTTTTCAATAGGATTCTTCTACAAAGAGTCCATAACTACCTAGATTGTATAACAAAGACAATGAATGACTCAGTTCTGAGTTAACAGTTTCTACTGTACATTGCTTTAGTCATGTGTCTCTAAACTACTGGAAGCCAATTCTCCTGTGGAAGGAAGAGAAGCTTCTGGATTCTGCTCAGCTTCTTCTCGCAACCTAACAATCTGAATGCTGTTTTCCTTCTTTGATAGCCAGAAGGCCGGATATAAAGGCTCATTAAACTTGCATTCAAAAGTATGCAAGAGAGTCATTGAGTCAGTAGCAATGCCATAAAAGGAGAGTGTCTCTCTGGGGTAATCTAGATAGACCCCTATTCTGCTGAATTCCTGAGATTTCAAAGGCGTCTCCACATCAACATGCCAAGCTGAGAAATCCTTGCCGTTCCATTTAATACACCAGGAGAAGTTATTCCCTGAGATGCAACTGTTGCTCTCTGAACCTTTCCTGTCAATGCTCTTATTTGTCATGCCAATGTAAATACCAGCTCCAAATATCTCCACTTCAAAGTAATAACGACCCATATATAAGCTTTGATTGGACAAGACTTGGCGCCAGTGTGCAAATCTTTCTGGATGATCTGGGTACGGGTGCTTCCAGGGCGTGGTGTTGGAGATCTTGTGATTGTCATCCAAAAGCCTCAAATAGCAATGAGCAGTAACTGGGTCAAATGTTAACAGGCAAGCATCTGCACAAAAAATAGATACATTATTTTAAAATCTAGACATAATTAATTGAGCACTAAATATGATAGAATACTACACCTAAAGGGCCTAATTAGACTTTATAACAGGAGTAAGGCCAGGATATATTTTGTCTACAATGTATAGAACTTGTAAGAATCTTTTTTTTAACCTTTGTCAGAAAAATATTTAGGTTGCTGGTTAAAAATATTAAAATACACATGTAGATTTTTCCACTGTTCTCATTCATGTATTGGAAAGAGATGGAGACTTAGAGAATATTTTGGCTTGATATGTAAAATCACTATGGTTTTTGCATACTTGCTTGGAATAAATAAATTGCTTACTTAAGTAATAGCTCCCTATATATTCCAGTACTGGAAAAAGCAATGTTCAGTAACTAATACTGGATTAACGTCAGATCACTAATGTGAGATTAATATTTTTTTTTAGTTTTTTAAAAACATTCTTGACATAATTTTGTTAACCATTTTAGAAAGCAAAGGAAAATGTTTTTTCCTCCAAAACATTTTCCTAGGATTTTTGTTCTAATACTGATTCTAACAAATGCATGCATAAAATGAAGCCTCTGGCTCCCCTGAGCCACACATTGAGGAAAATTCAATATTGTCCTAGCAGAATAGAATTGTAGTAGAAGAATGGGAGTTTTTCTTCCTCTATTCCCTGTGGTTCTCCACACTCTCTCAAACTCTCTTCTGAAGAACTGTGAGAATTCACAAAACCTGTTATGGAACAGGTTCTGAGGCTGCTAGAAAAAGAATGAATTGTTCCTTTCCTGTTTTTAGCAAAATCTAAACAGCATATAATTACATTTCATCCACAGATTATGCCAGAATGCATAACATACAGTTGAAACCAGATACATTTCTTTTGGCATTAATAGACAATCTTTAAAATCTGAATCACTGAGTGTATTTGAATCTAGAATTATCTAGCTTATTTACACATCATCCAAGTATTACAAAATGTCATTCCTGTTGTCATTTGAAGTTACTCTATATATTCTAGATCAGGGGTCGCCAACCTTTTGGACCTCAGGGACCACCAAACTCATAATTTTAGATCCCAGGGACCACTAACTGGTTCGGGTGTGGACTAATTTATGGGTGTGGCTTGGTGGTCATGTGACTGGCTGGGCATGACTTGTATGTAAATATTATATTTATATAAATATTGAATTTTTTTTATTAAAAAAGAGCAACTTTTACCCAAAATCAGGCAAAGCAGGAAGATTGAGTTGCTCACAGAATCATTCAATGATCTACCTGTCTATCTGTCTGTCTGTCTATCTATCTATCTATCTATCTATCTATCTATCTATCTATCTATCTATCTGCCATCGGCTAGCTCAGTCTCTCAAATTTGCTTGCTGTGAGTCTACACTGAATTTGCTTGCAAGCAAACCTTCAGTCCTAAGGGAGGTTCAGCTGTATTTAAAAGCAGAGCCAAAGATCTAAAGACTAGCTGGAAAGCAAGAAATCCAACCATTTTTTGCTTCCTAGCTAATCTAAACCTCCCGGCACAGAGAACAGAAATTTAGCAGGCAAGTTTACTGGGTAAAGGGTGAGTGGGTGGGGAGGGTTCCTGCGGGCCATGTGGGCAGCGCAGCACTTGTGTTTCTGCACAGCCTGGATTAATTGCTTTGGGGGGGTGATCTTTGGGTGAGATTTCTCTGCAGCCCACCAAAATTTTCTCATGGCCCACCAGTGGGCTGTGGCCCACCGGTTGGTGACCGCTGTTCTAGATAACCAATGAAAAATCATTATGTAAAAATTTCTCTTTAAAATTTTAATATAATGCAGATTTCCATTCTTTCACCCACATATTTTCCCATTGTTCTCTCTGTATATTATAACCATATATAGCCCATTTTATCATATATTCTTTCACTTGTTCTTATGTTCCAAATTTCAATATTTATATGTTAAAATATATACATTTATTTATTTTAACAATTATTTATGTTTATATTACATATTTTATAATATAAAAATACATATAACAATTAATGTTTATATATCCCCTTTATCTTACATCCACTCCTTGTTATGTTTTTTGCTAAGTTGTTAATTTTTTCCTTTTTAGTCCAGAAAGAATGTTGACTCATCAGATGGAATTCTCTTATCCTGCCAGTTAGAAAATTTCTCTTTAGCTGTAAATTGTTAATATCTAAAACTATTTAAGAAAGTAAGCCTTGTGTGAACCTTGTGTCTATATAGACTGCATCATAGCAGAGAACTTGATTGGAATCCTTTGACTCTCAACCATTCAACTCATGAGTCAAGCACAAAAAATCTCAGTTCCTGCAGTCTACTTGCAAGACGAGTACAAGTAGGCAATCTCATATCTCCTTTATCCAGAAAGGCAGCACCTGCCAGAATTCACCACTGCATTGCTGATCCTATTTCTTCAGGGATATATAGTCTGCCACAGATCCTCAAATGGAAGCCCCATTAATACATGAAATATCAAGGATAAGTATATCCTCAAACTAGCCATCAGGGTGAAGAAACATAGACCGTTCCTGAACATTTTTAATCACCAAGCAAATTTTTAACTGAATCTTGTCTACATATCCATGTATCAGTTAGGGTAGTCCTTCAAGGCTATCTTCAATACTCACTTCAATAACTGGATATATACTAGCAAGGAAAGGCTGTAGGGAAGCCTTGGAAGAAACTGTGTCAAGATTTCAGAGGTTACGGCTGCTTTAACTCTTTGGGGAGGAATGTTTTGTTTGCATCAATATATTTTGAGAAATATTCCTTTCAAATGCTTCACACAGTCTTATTAGCTTGTGTTTACTGCTTATTATAATGATTATGTTTGATATATCAATGTGAGGTAACATAACAATAAATGATAGAAGTAAATAAAACAAAAAAGGGAATTGATCAGAAAGAATCAGTGGCTGCTCTTATAAAAACTACATATTATGTTCAGTGTTCAGTGTGCCCCTGAATTTCCTGAGCAGACATAATTGTACATATCTCCTATTTGTTAATTTCCCACAAACATCTTCAAATAAGTCAATGTTGTTGATCTGAATTTCTTTCTTAATTCTTTCAAATTTTGCACCAAAAATTGGCCGATAACTTACACTTTAAGAAGTCATTCCTACTTTGAGGTTCTGGAGCTGACAGCCGATGTTTGGATGGAACAATTGCAGCCACTGTTGTTTTTATCCCAGCATCTTCTATATAGATAGAAGGAAGGAAAGAATTTTTTGGTATGACTAAGAATTAATTAATTGTCAGGATCAGAACTGTTGATAAGTGAGCAGCTTTAAAATTAATCGAAATGAATAAACATGTAAATTAAAGATGGATGGGTACTCACCATCATTGGCAAACCCCTGCAATTTTTCTTTATAGGAACTTTGTAGTAATTGTAAAAGCTGTTCAGTGGATTCAGAGATCACCTTTCGGATTCCTGATAATTTGTCTTTCAGGCCAATATACACACTGGGCAATGTATCATCTCCCTGGTGCTTCTTGAATTCACAGTATTCCTAAATATGCACAACGATATAGAAGAGATAAGAACATTCCTTGGACAGTGGCTGGGCGGAAGAATCCTGTGCATTGTGTTATCATTATGTAACCACCACCCCCCTTCACATTTGCAATTCAACATCAAATGAAAATATTCAAATCAAGATGTTTGGTTCATGACATCACAGCATCTTGTATCACTCTTCTACTCTCCTACCCACACCTTGACACCTTACTATTAAGCTGAACTGTGGAAATTTAGAAAAAAACAGAAGATTTATTGCTCACTCAAATACACACTAGTATTCTCTACTTTCTCTTAAGACTGTACAACTGACATTGGCCAGTTATAGATTCAGACCAGCAGCAGCTGTGTTTTATGTGAACACCAATAACAGATCATATTGATACAATATGGTTAGTAAAAAGGCAAAAAAATGAATTAATCCAAAACCAACTTTCCAAATGATATACAAATCAGATGCATTGGGTTTCAGCTCCCTTAACTTTCAGTGAGAGAACTTTAATGGTTGAAACCCAAAATATTCAAGGAAGGCAAACAGTTGTTGGAGGCTGATCTAAACATTTTTACTATCATCATTTAAGGTACCTTTAGGAAGATAATATCATTAGTGTGAGTGGCCATCTTCTCCAATCTTTTCTTCCATTCCTCCATTGTCACTTGTTGGCTCTGAAGGTGGATCTTTATTCCATTTGCATGATTAACTGCAGCACGTTCTTTCTCCTCCAGAAAAGTGAGCACCATGGCATGGTTTGCCTTGACAGCTTGGAGCAGCTCCTCAAACTTCTCTTCCACCAAGAGTTTTACTTCAGATACCGAATTCTGCAAGAACAGAAGCCATCATTGTTGCAAGCCTTAAAGCTGATCTGTTTGACATTTTATACTGACCGTGCAGTAAACCCTACAGCTGTACCTATAACCATGCAGTCCTTCCTATCATGTTCCACTCAAAATGTTATTTAAATGCATAAGATATTCTGACAGGGAAAAAATGAGTCACATTCAAGAATAAATTATGCTATGTATAACAGCATCTATTTCCCACGTATTAACTTACTATTATGCATGCCATCATTACAGTATGTTTAACAGTCTATAATGATATAGAATATGAGTTGAAACAGTTTACGTATGGGATGTGAGGGGTCTGTAAATATTTTCACAGCCCTCTTTTTGACTCCTGCAGTATACAGGTCCTCGATTGAAGGCAGGTTGGTAGTAATTGTTTTTTCTGCAGTCCTAATTATCATCTGAAGTCTGTGTCTGTCCTGTTGGATTGCAGAACCAAACCAGACAGTTATAGAGGTGCAGATGATAGACTCAATAATTCCTGTGTAGAACTGTATCAGCAGCTCCTTGGGCAGTTTGAGCTTTCTGAGTTGGCACAGAAAGAACATTCTTTGTTGTGCTTTTTTGATGACGTTTTGGCTTAGCAGATAAAAGAATTTAGCCATTATCTACAGCCTTTGGAAGTGTTTTGTTGCTTCTAAGGTTTCGTAAAAGTCTTGATTCGCTTTTGTTCACACAGGGGAGAGAACCTTTCTTTGGCATGTAGAATTAAAATCACACAATTCATTTTGGGATTTGGTACGATCTAACATATGTCCCCGGTATATTGCACGGATGTCTCTCTGGCTGAATGTGTAAATTAATATTTTAAAATCCTTCAAATACTTCCAAATAGCCAGAGGCTTAAATGCTTGAAATTCTTTCCAGAAGTTTCTAATGAATTCATTGACCACTCTTAAATTAGTTTAACAAGAAATAGTCCAAAGGGAGTCTATGTAATAAAACTAAGAATGACTAGATGAAAACCTCAAATGGTTTAACAATCCCCCTTCCAAAAAAAAAAAATCTACCCAAAGTTTATATTCATTATTTTTATTACCCATTTAAAGGTTTGGGGAATTGCTAATCTTTAAGAATTAATTCAGATAATTCAGACAGTATGTTTAATCAGTTTGAATGCTTATCTTTAAATAGATTTGGCTTTCTTTGTTAGTAGCTACATACAACTCTAAAAATGTCTGCATAGAAATAAGAGAATTATTGAAATGAAGGAACTGAAATGAAGAAACTCCTTGAATTGACTATTCTCAACCAGCCAAGAGCAATATTTTGCACACATGGTCCTGGTGTTCTCAACACTAATATAGTAACTGAAAAATTCCTATGTTTTCTTTTTACAGTGTTCAAAAAATAACTGAGTAGTGCTTAAATATATATTTTTCTATAAGGAAATATGCAAATAATGGTCCCTCCTCATCAGATTTTCTAGGGAAGACAACAGAGGTCTTTGAAGACCACCAGCTCTGATGTCTGATCCAAGGCTGTCACCTAAACCTGGATGCAAGCACTGTAATTTCCAAGAATGCCTTGGAGAGTGTCATGCCCAGCTCAAGAATGACTTGGAACAATCCAGCTAAAGTTATTTCTTTATTTTCTTGCACCATATAGACAGAATTTTGCAAGACTAAAGCTATACCACTCTAATCCTAATGGATATTCCCTGGGAGATTCTAGGGAATGACTATCCTAAATCTCTGGTGCAGCAACTATAAGCTTCAAACTAGTTCACATTCACCCTATTTGTGGGGCAACTGGATCTATTAAGAAACCACCGGTCTGCAAGCATATATTTTGCCAAGCAATGAATATATGGAAGACTTTTTAAAGCACACAAGTCATTTCTATCATTGCCAACAGCTGAACTCTAATCAACAGAGATGCTCTGTTTTAGTTCTTACCACTATAGACTCTGAGTTCTTCTCCAATTTAACAATTGCATTTTCTGCTGACTTCAATTTCCAATCATATTCTTCTTGATGATGAAGAAGTTCACACTGTTGACAGATAAACCAGGTATTACACATGGAGAGAAGTCATATAACAGCTGTTGAAATTTGTGAATGAGTTCATTTTTGTTCATAAACATTCTGACTGAAAACTGCTTCTGTATGGAGCCAGACAAGTTAGGTAAAGTGATGAGTGACAAACAAACCCTTGATTAGACAAGATTGGGGTGTGGTTGGTCTATAAGAAAAGTAATCCATTTTAGTCATTCTGAATGAGATTGTACTTCCTTAAAAACTGTCCAGAATCCACTAGAATTGAGGTGGAGTATAAATGAATTCAATTAGAATTAATTTGATGCAATCCAAAACTTACAATTTGATAATACTTCCTGATCAAGCCTTGGTACTGGATTATCCTATTTAATGAACATATTATTGCAACCCTATTATTTGATCAATACCATGAAGAATTTATAAAAATTAAAGGATTGTCATCCAAACCAGCAACTAGACACAGGAAGTAACATATATGGGTGACTTAAATCTAAACCATCAACAGTAGGTGGAAAAATAAGCCGCTATAAGCAATTTTATATTAAAACAATTCATTTCCCTTGAAAGCAAGTATGATAGCTGATGTTTTTTTAATAGTACATTTTCTTTGTGCAACTGCATATGTCACTACTTGCTGCATTACAAAATGTTCTATGGCTGCTTAAAAAAGTACCTGGTATAAATTACAGCTTTGCTGCTTCAACAGAGATTAAAATGACTTTTAAGTACACATGTAGATGTATCACAAAATCATAAAGTCGTTGGTACTTTCTGATATCTCTATCCAGACAAATTAAGGGCATAAACTAGAAAGTGAGTTCTGTAAACTCTTGCCTTAAAGCTGGGATTTGAAACACAGTTAGACATTCCAATGGTCCAACAGAAATGAGTAATAATGTCCAAAGTAAACTATGAAAAATATCCAAGCAGTAATTAGAGTCTGGGAGAGGATTAAAAGGAGGGGATGAAACAGAGAATGAGCACAAGAATGAGAATGAGCACTTTATTCTTTTCTCTCTTTTTTGCCTTTTAATTGTTTTTTTTCAATTCCTTTAAGTATATGTGTGCATATTTTTTTTCTTTTTGCCTTTTTTGCTTGTACATTTTACTTAAATGAATAAAAGAGACATTTTTTTAAAATCCAACATTTCAACAGATTTTCAGATCATATTCTTTTAAATAAGAAACAGTATTGCAGAACAAGCATAATGATTTATGTTGTTGGCGATGCAGTGAATCGAATGCTTGATATTGTTCCATTTCAGGAAGAAGCAATTACATGTATTAACTCAATCTTGAGATTTATCTCGAGAAGTGACTTTTGGACAGAGAAAATGAACACATAATCAAAAGATGTATTGTTTGACGCTGGAAACACAAATATATGGCTCCAACTATTTAGTGGCTTGCAGAATTGATTAGCAAACATCAACCATGAATGTAATGAATCACAGTTTCTATTTATTACATCTTGTGTCCTTTTCCAGGTTTTTTTCTCCTTTTATAATTTTGTGTACTTTTGTTTTTGTTATTTTACATTTATCTAATTAAAAAAAAGATTTCTCTGTGCAATATACTCAGACCAAACCATATAGAAAACTCTGAAGTAATGATTGTGTTGAACAAAATTGTTTTAAATCCTTTAAAAACTTAAGACACCCAACCTCTTAAACTCCCCAAAATTCAACTTTAAAAAAATATCTGGAGAATGTCAGAGACATATCTACTACCATTATTGCAAGCCAGTCAAAAAATAAACTGGTTAATTGTTCATCTATTTAGAAGGTATTGTCTATATCACATTAAATATCACATTTCGATTCTTACTATGTTACAGAGCACCTGATTATGACATTGAACATGTAAAGAAGCTAAATACACTACTGGCATCCTGCCCATACCCTTTTATCTTTCTTGGTGATTTCAATCTACCTCACATTAACTGGACCCTAAACGAATATAAAAACGAATATAAAACTGAACCCATACATGCAACCTTCTACAATGCTGTTACAAATCTGGGACTGGAAGAACTAGTAACCAACAACACTAGACTAAACAACTGCCTCGATCTCATCTTCTGCAATAGTTTGAATTTAATTTACGGAATACAAACTAAAGAACCCTTTTCCAGCAGTGACCACAATATGATTGACTTTTGTCTCAACATACGCCCACGCAAAAATCACCACAATGATGTAATCCCCAATTATAACTTCAAAAAAGGCAACTATGATCTCATAGACACTGATCTTTCATCCCTTGATTGGCAATCTCTATTCACTGGATGCAATACTGTTGAAGACCACTACAACATATTTTTACTTGAAGTCAAAAGAGTCATCAAACTATACATACCAACAACTCCCCAAACAAACAAACAAAAAACAGATTACCCATAACAATAAGGAAACTTCAGTCCAAAAAGAGATCACTCTGGTGGAAAAACAAATCTGGTCATGTTGCCAATTTCAAAAGCCGATACAAAAATTTATGCCACCAGATAAAGACTGAATGCACCAATTATCACATTAAACAAGAGGAAAACCTTGTATTCACCAATTCCACCCATGCTTTTTACAATTTTGTAAACAACAAACTAAAAGAATCAAGGTCCATCCCACTCCTGATAGGACCTAATGGTAAAGACTACAACCATGACACCATTAAAGCCAACATCTTTAACACATTCTTTGTCTCAGTACTTGTAAACAGCAATGGATCATGCCCAGTATTTCCTAGCCAAACCACAGATAACTACAATGATCTAATACATATCGATTTTACAGAAGACAATGTTGAAAAAACACTACGCAATCTAAAATCATCTCTATCTATTGGACCGGATGGAATATGTGCATACTTCTTTAAAAAGCTATCCACTGCCATAGCCAAACCTCTAAGCATAATCTTTGAAAAATCTTCCAGGACCAGCTCCTTGCCAAAACTATGGTCACAAGCCATGGTCATCCCCATCTTCAAAAAGGGAGACCACAGCCTAGTTGAAAATTACAGACCAATCTCCTTATGCTGCATCACCTGTAAAGTCATGGAATCAATTATTAACCAATCCATTATCCTCCACTTAGAGACAAACAACCTACTCTCCAATAAACAATTTGGTTTCAGAAAAAAACTATCCTGTAATCTGCAACTCTTACACTGCAAAAACATATAGATGACACAACTCAATCAGGGCAAAGCAATAGACACAATCTACATAGACTTCTGTAAAGCCTTTGATTCAGTGGTACACGACAAACTACTCCTAAAAATAAAATACTGTGGTATCTCTGGACAACTGCATAACTGGATAGAAGCATTCCTGTCAAACAGACAACAAATGGTAAAAATTGGGAATGTCCTATCAAATTCTGTACCTGTCAATAGTGGTGTCCCCCAAGGCAGTGTTCTAGGACCAACTCTCTACATACTCTACATAAATGACCTCTGTGATCATATTAAGAGCAACTGCGTTCTTTTCGCTGATGATGTAAAGCTGTTCAGTACCACAGACAATACTGCTACCCTTCAAAAAGATCTTGACGTTGTATCAGAATGGTCAAACAAATGGCAACTTCAAATCTCAACAAATAAATACTCTTGTCTTACATATTGGCAAAAAAAAATCAGAAAATAAAATACAAGCTGAATAGTCAAGATCTTGTTGATGATCCAAGCTCTGTAAAGGACCTTGGAATACTCATCTCTAATTATCTAAGTGCTAGAGCCCACTGTAACTACATAGCCAAAAAGGTATTAAGAGTTGTTAACCTAATCCTACGTAGCTTTTTCTCTGATAATATCACACTACTAACTAGAGCATACAAAACATTTGCTAGACCAATACTCGAATACAGCTCATCAGTCTGGAACCCGCATTACATATCCGATATTAGCACAGTTGAGAAAGTCCAGAAATATTTCACAAGAAGAGTTCTCCACTCCTCTACTTGTTGTAGAATACCTTATGCCACCAGACTTGAAATTCTAGACCTAGAAAACCTTGAATTACGCCATCTTCGGTCTGATCTAAGTATGGTATATAAAATCATACATTGCAATGTCCTACCTGCCAATGAATACTTCAGCTTCAACCATAACAACACAAGAGCACACAACAGATACGAACTCAAGGTTAATGGCACCAAACTTGATTGCAGGAAATACGACTTCAGCAACAGAGTGGTCAATGTCTGGAATACTCTACCTGACTCTGTAGTTTCTTCCCCAAACCCCAAAAACTTTAACCTTAGACTCTCTACTATTGACCTCACCCCTTTCCTAAGAGGTCTGTAGGGGACATGCATAAGCGCACCAACGTGCCTACCGTCCCTGTCCTATTGTTTCTTTTATTTTTCTTATATGTACCCATTTCATGTATTCATAACTATGTATATACTTCTACTTATTATGTTGTAAACAATTGACAAATCAAATAAATAAATAAGTAAATATATTTTCTCTAATACTTTGCAGTCTCTTCATGTCTATTCCTCCCATTTTTTTCTTCCAGTTGATTTCACTAGGATCCACTCAGTCTAATATGTTAAGTATGAGTAACTGTTCCTTTCCAGTTGCACAAAAGACACTCCTAAGAAGAATAGTAGGTTGAAGGTCCTACTGATCGTTATTCTGTGGCATCTTATAACCAACACAATGCAATGAAGCTACATTTTAGCTCTCTTAATTTTTTACATTTGGGACAGACTACATTTTTAAATAAGTATAATCAAAATGAAACAAAGTTCTGTCCCAAACAGGATTGAGATATTGTGAAAAGGGATTCCAATTTCCTGACAGGTTTTACTCCCTCGAGGTAAAACAGCAAACAAGAGTGATTAAGGCATAAAGTAGACGAACAACAGGGAATATCACGCAACTCTGTTTAGTGTGAAATAACTGGTACTAGTAATTTTATCCTGCAGAACAGGAAAATTAACAGAAAAAGTAGTAAAAAGTTTATACCAACAAAAGGTATTTATTTATGACAGCTATAAATGCCTGATTTCTCCATCTAAGATATGATTCATAACCATTTGGAACTGTTTTCATATTGTTTATGCTTCAGGCACGAAATGTTTCACTATGGAAACTGGGCCATAAAAAGGAACACCCTATAGGAGAAGGAGACATGCTACCTGCTTGTTTGTTCAAAACTGAATTCAAGTTCAAACAAACATAGGAGAAAAAAAACACCTTAGAGAAAAGTTATTTGAAACTATTGGCAAGACAGTGAAGAAATGTGTTCTCTGTTTGCTTTTGCAATGATGCAGAGATGCAAAGGTTTGTTAAGAAAAACATGCACTCAGTTGAAATGTATAGCGAGATGAGGGGGAAAAACATTTACTGAATGGCCTTTCAAAATGAGCCGAACTTCTCTAAGTTTGGAAACTAAGCAGGACCAGAAATCTCAGGTAGGGAAAAATGAACCATGTGAACAGCTAGGACAAACCATTCCCATATCACTGCCAGGAAAATTGCACAATTGTGAAGTCACCAAGAGCTGAGCTCAATTTTGAGGACATTTTAGCTTCTCTGTACAAAAGAAGCATTTATAATGATGGGGCAAGAACCACGACATATGGATATAATTCCAGTGTTCTCCAACAGGAAATAAAATTGGCTGTAACCTTTGGTATTAGTCCCAAGAAGTATCATAAAATAGTTGAATTCCTCCACTGTGCCTGAGAATCAGTCAACTGCCTTAGTCAATAGGAAGTAACCAAAATTCAGGTGTTTCATAAGTAGTCTGAATATACCAGATGTCATGCTTGGCATGACAGTCAGTTTCTCTTAGAAAGTAGGAAGTCCTTTTGCTCATCAGGATTTCTCCCTATTGAAAACCCTCAATTCACTAGGAAGCTTTTATTTCATAATACCCCACTTGCAAATTCATGAAATCCCAGTATAACACAATTCTCTTATGTTCATTTAGGAACAAGCCTAAGTGCATGGTAATGGAATAAGCCACAGAGGTAGGATTTATACATAAAGCTGCATAAAATGCATAAATCGGTACTTAGATTCACGTGTTCTGCTAAGCCACAGCCCAAGAAACAATAGGAAAAGCCATTGTGACCTAGTCCCTAATGTTTATGCAAATGACCTTACAAAAGGCTAGGTGTGAAAATAGGAACTCTCTGGCCTCTTATTTCCAAGCACTGAACAAGTTGTGACAATTCTCCTACACATCATATTAACAATAAACTTATATGCAATAATTACCTCTTTTTCTTTCCTGGCTACTGCACAGATTACAGCTTGGTGGTTTTGATGTCTATCAGAAAGACACTCCTCACAGATACAGATTAGGTCACTGTGGCAGAACCAGCTGAGATGCCTTTTGTGGATCTTGCAGCTCTGTATGTCAATGTCCTTTAGTGGATCCATAAGGTTATGGCTCTTTAGTTTGACATTCTCCAGATGAGGCCTCAAGTGATTCTGGCAGTAATTTACCATACAGGTCAAGCAGGATTTTACTGCCTGCACCTTCTCTGCTAGGCAGAAATCACAAAGCACTTCTTCATTCTTCTGCTTCTCTTCTGGGTGACTTTCTGTCAAGATACTGGGTGAGTGATCATTTGAAGATTCATTTTCAGACAGGTGGTCTCCCCAGCTTGGTTCACTGTGACATGGATCTTTGCTTTCAAGTTCCATACGAGGAGTTCCTTCATTGTTCAATTCTCCACTCCCACATTTTTCTTCCCAGATTGGTGAGCCATTTACTACAGGATCCTGAACTTCCAGGACTTCAAATAGCTCTTCAGGACAACTTGAATCGGAGGCAGCCATTATTTGTCTACTATTTCCTGAACAGAATCACCCCTGCAATACTAACAATAGCTCTAGCTTTCTAAGGTGCTTGCTGTGTAACCGCAGCTTAGGAAGAAATGAAGAAGAAAAAAACCAGTCATACCTGAATGTTCCTGAGCAACTGTGTGCTTTAGGAGATTAACTCTTTCTTTCCATCTCCTAGAATGCATGGTCTGAAATTACGCAACAGGGGATCAGGTGATGTAAGCAACTGGCATATATTCAACCTCTTTCCTGTATGTGTTATTAACCAGCCAAATCTTGCTTTTATGTATCTGTGTTGTGACATATATCCAGGAAATGTATGAATCATGTAGAATGTGAGTGTGTGTGTGTGTGTGTGTTCTTAACATAATTTCATGTTGAGCTATCTTGATATATTTGTTTTTTCTCATGAATTTTTTAGAAAATAGTAGCAATCTCTGGGATCATCATAAGAACAGACTGAGGTTTCATCATTACCTATTTCCATAATTGCCATAACTTGTGCTTAGAAAATATTGTTCATAATATAAGGTGGCTGATAGACTTACAATCTAATACCCATGTTCTCAAAGGAAAGAAGGATGAAAGAAGAATCAGGAAATATATTCATATCCATTTTTCATCAATTGAACAAAACTAAATAGTACTGCAGTGACTTAATGACAATTAATTGGATTAAGAATTTAATTAGTTCAAATTATTTCTACTCCATGGGACTTAAAATATATTACTAGTGGGGGCTATATATTGGGCAGAAAGATTGTAGTTTTATCAAGTGTACATCATAAACATGTTTTGACACATAGCAGATCTCTCACCTTGACAGCTGAATTGTCCAACTGTCGTGGCACTTCCACATGGAAAGGAGGAAGACTTTGGCATGGCAATTATCAAAATAGGATGGACAACTTTTGGAGCGACACTGGGCCCTCAGCCTGTTCATAAGATGAGCCACAGAGGTTGCTGGCACTCCAATTTGTTTTCATTCTTATTCTTTCCATTTCCATTCTTGTGTTCCTTCCATTTCCATTCTTGTTTTTCTTCTTGCCGATCAGAGTCAGGGGAGATAGATGGCATAAGAACTTATGTAATAAATAAGTATTTATTTCTAAGAATTATATACTCCTAGAAATTACACTTTGTAGGAATGATAGCTGCTTGAAATTATTATTATTATCATGATGACTACATAGTCAGCCACATGTTTAGACTGGATTTAGCAGTTTTATCAATTAATCAAGTCCTTCTATCAAGTCCTTCCCAAGAACCTGGCATAGGCAGGTTGTCTGATGGTGTTAAAGCTATAATAACAGAATGTAAGCTGCTCCAAGTAAAGCTATATCTTGCAAATGACTGATAGTGATTTTTATCAATGCCAGTGATGTTCAAGAGCTGCTACAGTTACCTTGGAGTTGCATCCAAGATGCTTTCTATATGAATTTTAAAATCCAAGAGCTTTTTAGCTTCTTCATTTTCTATTATTTTGTGATCCCACCAGTTCTTGCTTGAAGGCAATTGGTATCTCTGGCAGGTATTCCAATGTACTGTTGTTGCCTCTTTGTCACAGGATTGTTTGTAGTTAATCTATTTCAGACAGTGTTGTTCTAAACAGCTTTCAGTTGTCCATATAAAGGAGATGGGATAGACTGGCGGATGTTTTTGATGTTTGATAGCCATGACCCAACTTGTTCAAGAAATATGTTCAAAATCAAGAGATATCAATACAAAGGTAAATACTAATGGTGATAGTGAGTTTCCTTGAAAGATTTTTCTCTTGATATTAATCTCTCTTAGTGTATCACTATTGACCAGCAACTGGTCTTCCATTGTTCCACTGATCTTTCTACAAAGCTTCTGATGTTTTTATTGACTCCTATTATTTCTAGGCCCTTAATTATCCAGCCAAATGTCTCCTTGTAATCATTCTAAACTAAATTCAAATTGGTCTTCTTTCCCCTGCAGGTTTTCAAAATCATCTTGTCAATTAGGAGATAATCTTTTCTGCCTCTGCAAAGTCCAGGCAAAGTGTAGCAGCCATCTTAAAAAAACAAATAAAGAAACCCTTTTACTATACAATAGACAACAGTGTTTAGCTATGTCATGGTTTTCATTCAGTAACTAAGAGTAAATATAAGGACCAAAATACAGCACTCAGTTGTATCTGTGAGCAGTTGAAATTCATGGGCTTCAGCACAGTTGGCTCTGCACTGGGTTGTGGCCACTATACCCAGCCTATCACTGAATTTTTCATTTGAAAACTGTAAAGTACAAAATTTGTGTTATTTGTATATATGGAAATGCTTATTGATCATGGCTTTCAAGTGGAAAGAAAATGAAATACGGATTGCTAAGTACATTTTCTGAAACCACAATGGACTATATATGTGTGTGTGTGTGTGTGTGCGCGCGCGCGTGCACGCACGCTTAAGTTTTTGCGGGTATTTATATGTATGGTATTCAGCTTTGTTCGAGTATTTTCCCACGTCATTATAGTTGTGCTTTTAAAGTTGTAGCAATGTTTCGGCAGAATCTCATCTGCCATCATCAGGCTTCTGTATTGTGTTCGTCTGTGAGTCAGACTTTCACAGCCATTTCAGTTTTAAATTTGGGGCTAGCCTACTGCTGTGCCGGAATGGTTTTTTCATCATCCTGATTGGTTGGGAGTCTTGGTCTGTGTTTATTGGTCTTGGAATTTGCTGTGTTCTGCTTGATTGGTGTTTCTAATATCTTCTGTCTGCTTTGTGGCTTTTTTTGTCTTGATTGGCTGGCAACATTGTGTTCCTGTATTGGCGGCTTTTAGTGCAGCTTGGCTCTGAGTAAATGGATGGCTATCATTTATTAGGAAGCTAGGTTTCATCTGGGTGCCTGGTTGGGGTATGTTTGAGCTGGAGGTATCAGGGGGGATCTGTTTGTGCCCAGGTGTTTTCCTGGCTTGTGGTGTGGAAATTTTTTTGTTTGTGAGTGCAGGCTTCCAAATAATTGACAGTCTGGTGGAAACATCTCTTCTATTCATGCTTTCGGGTCTTTTTTCAATCTCTATGGCTTCTCTGATAATTCTGTGGCTGGGGTTTTCTATAGTGGCTAGGGTTTTGGTGCCATTGAAGTCAATGCTATGACCTGTGGCTTTCATGTGTTGGGCTAGTGAGGAAGTGTGTTCCAGCTTTTTTACTGCATTTTTGTGTTCATCCAGGCCGGTACTTATTCTTCTATTGGTCTGTCCAATGTATGTAGCAGGGCATGATGCACAGGGGACTTCATATATGCCGTGGTTTTCCAGGTCAATTTTATCTTTGGGGTTTCTTAGGATGGCTGCTATTTTTCTGTCTGTTTTGAAGGCAGTCTTGATGTGATGCCTGTGTAGTATCTTACTGCTTTTGTCTGTAGTACGTCTTATGTAGGGCAGGACAGCTGTTCCATAGGACTGTTCATCTTCTAAGTCTCCATTATGTCTCAGTGTGTTTTTGTGGATCAAGCCGGTGATTTTGCTTTTGTGGAAGCTGTTAGCTGTCAGTACTTTAGTCAGGGTGCGTAGTTCAGTCTTTATGTGAGTCTTGTCTGCCAGGCGTTTGGTTCTGGTGATTAGTGTTTTGGCCACAGAGTTTATCTGTGCTGGGTGGTGGTGGGATTGGGCGTTGAGGTAGCAGTTGTTGTGTGTTTTCTTCTGGTATATGGTGTGTCCTAGTGTGCCATCTGTGTTTTTGTAGATTAGTACATCTAGGAATGGTAGTTGTTTGTTTGTTTCCGTTTCCATGGTGAACTTGATTTTGGGATGTGTTATGTCCCTGGAACTTGCCAAAGTCCCCACCCAGGTCCGTTCATGCTGCGGGGGCGTTTGCTGCCCCTCATTGGCTGGCCTCCCTCGACAGCCGGCTATAAAAGCCAGCTGCAGGGTTCGGCCAGCCGCTGATCGCTGTGAGCCTGCTCCAGGCAGGGCTAACACGTTCAGTCCTTTATTACTCTAATAAAGTCTTGTTGCATCCATGCCCTGGTCTAGCCTCTCATTGCTCAATCTACAACAGGATGTGTGCTGTTTAGGTGTGTTAGGAAATTGTTTAGGTTTTCTTTTCCATGGGGCCAAATCACAAATGTGTCATCGATGTATCTTAACCATAGTTTGGGTTTGAGTTTCTTTTATCAGGACTTAAGTGAATAGTGAAACCACATCGAAACTTACAAGCAGATCTTCTTGTTCCACGTGTAGATCTTTGATCATTTCCAAGAAGTGGTATGAGTTTTGTACATGTGAAGCTGCTCCTTCAGCATGGGGCTGTAGCTGCTTTGCTAAGTGTTTAGCTAGGTTTTGTAGTGGTGCTCCTCTGGAGCTGACTATGGGTCTGAGAGGTATGCCTTCTTTGTGTATTTTTGGGAGGCCGTATAGTTTGGGGCATCTGGAAGATTTTTCTCTTGGGATGATTGTCTGTTGGATCATCTGTTGGATCTCTTTGCTCATGTGGCTGGTTATAATTTTCTTCTTGGTTATTTTTTCCAGGTATGTAGTTGGGTCCGTGTTTATGGGTTTGTATGTGGAGTCTTGGAGTAGGTCTGTCAATTTTGTTTCGTAGTCTTTTCTATCCATTACTACTGTGGCATGACCTTTATCTGCTGGAAGTATGATTATGCTGCTGTCGTTCTTTAGGGCTTGCAGGGCTTTTAGTTCCTCTTTGCGCAAATTGCTTTTGGGTGGTTTGCTTGTGCACAGGATGTTAGTAACTTGGTGTCTTATTCTATCAGCTTCATCTGTATTTAATTTAGTTAGGCTGGATTCTACTGCACATCTGATGGATTCTGTGGGGATTTTTTGAGGTGCTATAGCATAATCCCAACCAATCAGGATGAAGAAAAAAACATTCTGGCATAGCAGTAGGCTAGCCCCTAATTTAAAACTGAAACGGCTGTGAAAGTCTGACTCACAGACGAACATAATACAGAAGCCTGATGATGGCAGATGAGATTCTGCTGAAACGTTGCTACAACTTTAAAAGCACAACTATAATAACGTGGGAAAATATCTGAACAAAGCTGAATACCATGTGTGTGTGTGTGTGTGTGTGTGTGTGTGTGTGTGTGTGTGTATTCGGGTCTTT